CTTAATAAAAAATACTGACATACATTTTAAATAATTTTCATTTTCGTGTTACTTTTGAGAATATAATGTAGTTACCATCATGATAAGGCAAGGTCTGTTGCATCATTAAATATTAATGATTATTATTATTGTCTATTTTTATTGTCTCACCATCATAAGGGTCCTGTCCTGGTTTTTCTTTCGGCTTGGGAAACCCCTTAGCCTCCCTCAACCTGAGTCGCAAAAATGATCTGGGGAGAAATGAGAGGACATCAGTTACATACAGTCAACACCAGAATAAAATTACTTCTTTGTCAAATACCCACTACAATTTGTTGTGGAGTCATGACGTTAAAGAACCCAAGGCTAAAAATTACTTGATATTAGTAATGGTATTTCGACTGAGTGGAGCACAATTCAGGGAGTTAAAATTCAAACAAGTAATTTCAAAATCGGATGAGTGCACAGCACAAGGCTAATTTGAAATTACGGGCACAATAATATTTATACTCTCTGAATTGTAGGACATGAGGTCCAATTACTTCTGAGATAAAAAAGTCAGAAGCAGTTTCCATAACTTCTATTGTAGGGAACATTATAAGGGAAGCTATTAATTAAAGCCGCAATATGGCAAAGGGCGCAACAACTGTGTGTGACAAATAGGCGAGCAGACAACCAATCATGACAAAGAAATTTTGTTATAAACACGACATATGGAAGATCAATAGGAGCAACTTCAGAATACCCGGCCACTTTATTTACCTGTGCCGGTGGGCTTTGAAGAACGAAGTATATAACAATAGTTGCTATTCTTATTCAATGAGATGCTAATAAGTGGCCGGGTATTCTGGAGTTTAGCCGATCAATACTGAAGCTTAAAATAAATTTTGTCATTAGTATTTGAAACATTTAAATTCAACAATGAACTGCAGCTATAGTAACTTTACACGGTATAAAGGCACCTTCTTTACTACTCTTCATTACTCACAAGAACTCAGTCTTATCGCGCTTTTCAAAGTGAGAAATAAACGTTACCACTTACACCGTATGTTCCCACTCATCTTCGTCAAAGTTAAACGCTAAATTAAACCGCTTGGGTGTTTTACTATAACCACTTCAAAAAACAAAAGAAATACAAACCTTGTAGGGTGAGGATTATTTCGTCTTGTTGGCGAAGTCGGGCGACATGGAGTGGGTTCTTGAAGAGCTCTGTAGTTATGTGTTGTCGAGTAAGTAGTAACAAAGTGGTTACATTTTACAGAAGGCAAAGGCTCGCCAGGGTTTTCCCAAGTATGCTTCCATGACTGGCGAGAAAGGCTGCGAATCTTGTCGAAATCCGATTGTGAAATACCTTGTTTTCGTCTTTCATGTTCTCTAAACACTTCGGCAGACTTGGAGCGAAAGCGAAGCTCATTTGGATAGCCTGGATTTGTTAAAATGTGAGTCATTATGACACACCAATAACATCAAAGCCGTTCTCTAGCTTTCAATCGATGTTCCCGGCAATATTCTGGTCGCGATACGATGATTTCGCTTTTGCCAGTGGAGATCGCGTGTTATTCGTAAGATATTGCCCTGGGCTACGCCAGAGTTGATCTGCAGGTCGCTCCAACCTCGTTTAGTTGCCAAATTTGACAAAGAGTCAAGAAATAAACTGTTTTCTGCCGCACCGCGGTTAAACCGACAACAATGAGATTGCTTGGTAACTTTAATTTATGCAGCGCCGGGTTAATGAATAACCATACCGTTTGCTAATTGACTTCCCTTGACATGTCATTTCATCCAATATACCGCAAGTTTTAACAATGGCTAATTATGGTAAGCCATAGACTAAATTGATTAATTATTGAAAGGAAAGGAAAACCGTATTCTCAACGGCTGTTAGCTTCCAAAACCCGTTGTTTGTAGAAGACAAAGAAATCGGGATAAACTGGGTTTAATAAATTGAAAGGCAAACATGGTTTGAAGTACTTCTTCCAGCAAGCACTAAGAAAGGCAAAAACCTTTCAGAGTATCAATGGCTAGGACTGATTACGAGCAACGCGGGCAGTTTTGGCCGAATCTCCGTTTCCATACAAGCACACTGGCTAAAAAGAAAAGAAAAAAGATGATCCGTTTAAAAAACGCGAATTAAGCACCACAACAATTTTTTCGTTCTTCGGAGCTTTAAAAATTCTGCGAGTGGCGTCATCGAAGTGTATCAAATTTGATCGCTATCGCAACAAATTAAACCTTTAAAAACCCGCGTGGTTCTTGGACGTCCTTGTAGTTGGAATATAAACAAGACTGAAACCAAGAAAAAAATTTTCGCTGGGGCAATTCTCATTAATTCATTTACAGTTAAGCCAAGTCCGTTCCATTTTTGGCACAAGTCAATTTAAAGTGTTCTGTTATTACAGATTTGCTTTTATTTAATAATTGATCAAGTGAAATCTTCCCTTAATTATCTGAAGTGAACGAAAGCGATCCCGCAAGCAAGGCAACAAAAGGTTTGTTATCTCAATGGCTATTCACAAAACCATAGATTCAACATATGGGGCTCGAAAAATTAAACAAAATGTCCTATTGATTCACTTAAGCGAATAGAATTGATTTAATACCAGCTATTACCCGGCACAGCTCCAGAAAACCGGTGGAATTGGAGGCAAATTAATGGGGTAGTCAGGACCTCTTCAAAACTTCGAAGAAAACGTGAGTTTTTGATCATCTTTACTAAATATCTTATGGATCGTTTCTATTCAGAATCATTTCTCAGAATCAGTACTAAAATTAAACATGTCTATAGTAACTACAATCGGGAGAAGGCTGCTGATTATAGAGTTTTAATAAGAGTTCGTTTTCTAGGTTTATTTTAAAAGTGTTCAGATGATTAGTTATATAATTCGAAACTGCCGACTAAAACTGAGCCGAGAACGCTTCAAACAGGCAAAATTATGACTCTAACTTTAACCGAGACTCTTTTGTTTGGTGAAACTACGTATGCCGTCTCTAGGCAACTTAACTGGGGCGGACGAAGCTGAAGTTTCGCGTTTTTGTACTGATAATTAACTTCTGAATTCAAATCAAATTCTGAATTATTTGCTTGATTTTCGAGAACAAATCGTGTTTTCAATAAAATAACATTTATTCTGAGGTTGAAGAATGAGTTTCAGCAATCCTATATATGAGTATAAATCACCCTTTTGTGTTGTTTAGTACGGTCAAAATGTCGCACATACATACTAGCATTTTATGTTGCCAGTAGAAGTAACTGAAACAAACCTGAACTGTACTTTTATTTCACAAGCCAATCTTGACTGCTCTTCGTAATGAACTACTGCAGCAAACCTTCGTATAACTACAGAGAAAGAACGGCTGAGGAACAGGTATGAACAATTATGGTATACGAGGCATCAGTTATGTTACTTGTTTGTGGCCAGGAGGCGCTGTGGCCTCATGGTTAGCGCGCAGACCTACGGAGCCGTCTGGATTCAGACAGGCGTTGATCGACATCATTAGCGCGTGCTTTAGGGCAAAACGACATCTTGTTACGAATAAGCATTCTATCTAGGGGGAGTATGGTTTTATCTAGCGGGGGGGG